GTAGTAAAATAATAACATGGAAATTATGTTCACCCAGGAAAAGTTATATCATGAGTCACCACATTTGAGTGGATATTTCCCCTATAATTCTGGTCATTTATAATAAATAATTTGACTTCTAGGCCTAGTGAAAGGAATATATCAAACTCTATTTTGGGGACACCACATTCAAGTGGGTATCTCCCCAGGAAGAGTTATATCAGAGATTTGCCATATTTCAGTGGTATTTCCCTTATAACTCTGGTCATTTATACTAAATAATATGACTTATAGTAAAAGAAAGATATGAAATTATATTTTGGGGTTACCACATTCAAGTGGGTATCTCCCCAGGAAGAGTTATATCATGGATTCGCCACATTTTAGTGGTATTTCCCTTATAACTCTGGTCATTTATACTAAATAACATGACTTATAGTAAAAGAAAGATATGAAATTATATTTTGGGGTTACCACATTCAAGTGGGTATCTCCCCAGGAAGAGTTATATCATGGACTCACCACATTTCAGTGGTATTTCCCTTATAACTCTGGTCATTTATACTAAATAATATGACTTATAGTAAAAGAAAGATATGAAATTATATTTTGGGGTTACCACATTCAAGTGGGTATCTCCCCAGGAAGAGTTATATCATAGATTTACCACATTTCAGTGGTATTTCCCTTATAACACTGGTCATTTATACTAAATAATATGACTTATAGTAAAAGAAAGATATGAATTTATATTTTGGGGTCACCACATTCAAGTGGGTATCTCCTCAGGAAGAGTTATATCATGGACTCGCCCCATTTGGGTGGTATTTCCCCTATAACTCTGGTTATTTATACTAAATAATATGACTTATAGTAAAAGAAAGATATGAAATTATGTTTTGGGGTCACCACATTCAAGTGGGTATCTCCCCAGGAAGAGTTATATCATGGACTCACCACATTTCAGTGGTATTTCTCTTATAACTCTGGTCATTTATACTAAATAATAATGACTCATAGTAAAAGAAAGATATGAAATCATGTTTTGGGGTCACTACATTCAAGAGGTTATCTCCCCAGGAAGAGTTAAATTATGGACTCACCACATTTAATTTGAGTGGTGTTTTCGCTATAACTCTGGTCATTTATACTAAATAATATGACTTATAATAAAAGAAAGATATGAAATTATATTTTGGCGTAACCACCTTCATGTGGATATTTCTCCTATAAATCTAATATTCCCTGATATGCAAGTAATTGTAAGCTGTACATAAAAGGTGACAAAACTGAAATCATACTGACAAACATGTATATTAACCCCCATTAAGCAGCAATGCACCCAATTTTATTCTTTTACTCCGTCTAAAGCCAGATGGTTTTACTCGTCAAGGGAAGAGTCTTGCTCTTTAATGGGTTAAAATTAGGTACCAACCTATATTATATATACCATTACTTATATAGGAAAGCAAGTTTCCTTGGTTTTTCAACAAACCTCTTTACCACCTCTTTATGCAAGGTACCTGCATCTTCTTTTTATGACAATATGACTTTGTGTATGGAAATCCTGCAAAGAGAACTAAGACGGCCTTGACTCATGGTATTTCTCAAATAACTTTTTACCCTCTTCAAACAGGAAATTTATCTTCAACAGAAGCACTAGTGACTGATATAACAGCATTCATCTTCAGTAACTTTACTATTTCAGGAATGCTAGATTGCAGATGGAACTGAAAAATATATTTTAATAACTCTCCACAAGAATCTTTATGAAAGTCTTTATCCCTGTAAATAAAACAAAGTTGGCTGACTGGCATTTGTATATCAAGTAAATCACCATACATTTCCTTGAGAAGATCCAGTTTCTCTGAGGGCACTTCACCATTCCAAGTCTTAAATAGGGCACTTCACCATTCCAAGTCTTAAATACCCTTGGGTTCACAAGATCTAAAAACCTAAAACGCTCAGTCAGCATAAAAAAAACAACGCTCAGTCAGCATGCCTACAATGGAATCAAGAATTTCAAAAAAACATTTGTTTATAATTATGCTTTAGGTCATATTTGGTCACTGGAGGGCCCACTTTCGCAACAGCTTTGTCATAAAACTCTGTTCTCAGAGAAGTAACAAATGTCTTGAATCTCTCAACTCATGTCATTCCATATAGGCCCTTTCAAGGTTTATTCCGCCAAATTGCCGGGGGTGCAAAACATTGGGGCGAGCGCGCGGCCAAGCCATGGCTGCCATATATTTTAGTAATGAGTGAGCGATAATTTTGTGTGGACATCTTGTTGATTTTCTTATGCTATATTAAACGATAGTCCAAATTTTTATATTCTGGCTGATCTGTGTGTATTTTCAAACTACTGGTAAAGATTTCAATGGAATCTGATTGGGGAAAATCCGTGAAATGCTGATTTCTTCGACACCTTTTGGCGAGCTATTTACAGTGGATTCACGACAACGAAACGCCGAAAACAGGGCTTTTTCGTCTCTGTTTGATTAAACAAAACAACATTACAAAAGAATCATGTTTAAAAACAATACAACAAAGCCGTCGGGAAAGAAGAAAGACGTCCAGGTGCGAGAGTGTAACCTGATACCAATGTCAATCTCACCTTTAATATCGAATCCAAAGGGTATATATTCAGAGATATTGAGTTTGAGTTGTTTATATCTTATGTTCTCATAGCAGGATTATATTGCAAATGGATTATATTACGAGGATTTCGTTGGGCTGTGGGTTGACAGAGTGGGAAAAAGGTTGAACTTGTGGCAAGAGCATTTATTAAAGCATATGAATTGGGTGCTTCAAAGAAATTTACAAGGAACAAATTCTTGATAGATTAATTAAGAAGGAATACCAACAATGGCTACAAACTAATGATATTATTAAGTGCGAGGCTAGCACTCTGTGCGATGAATATTGGAAAGATGACATTCAAAAACATGGCCACATCTTGATGATGGAATGCTATACATTCTACAAGTAAAGGCAGTGGATGTTGAATATATTGGCAAATACGTATATACAAAGATGAGAGGGCCTACTCATATTGGATGAGTGGATTTGTTGATATAATTCATGTCGCTAAATGCCCCATTGACAAGACCATGACATTTTTTTGTAAATTCAGTATGTCCATCACAAAGGATGACTCACATATAAAAGTGTGGATGTGTGTCCTTGAACAGCTGGAACAGTTGAGCATGTAATCATGTACTTGCATTCTTCAATGTATTAAATAAATTATGCTTACAACATGTCAACAAGCAATATATTTCCCCTGCCTGTGTGCCTGTATCAGTGTTTCCCAAGGGTAGAACAAAGAAACTTGAAAATAAGTAAATCCAAGCATGCAAGGTTAAAGGCACAGTTCAGCCTTTTGAACGATGGTTTTTAAGGCGCATTTGAGCCCTTTTAATTAAAAAAACTAACTAGGAAAATCAATTAAGCATAATTCAAAATCAGTAAACTCGATGTTTTTAACAATATAAATGTTTTAAAATGTTAAAAACATTAAGATTGCTGATCTTGAATTATGCTTAATTGATTTTCCTAGTTAGTTTTTTCAATTAAAAGGGCTGAAATGCGCCTTAAAAAAGCATCGTTCAACAGGCTGAACTGTGCCTTTAAAAATTTAATATTTAGACCAAAATTCTGGCTGCAATTAAACAGCGAGGGAAGAATTTGACCCCAGAAAACCTGAGGACAGAAATATTACCAATGAAAGAGTTTCTTTATTATTTATTGACTTAGTTTTAATTTTTCTCCCCTATGTACAGTTCCATAGACAATACTTACATATTTTTCCTTATATTAATTTGGGCTAAAGGCCTATTAGATACTTTGTTAGGCTTTTTGCTTTAGGCCCCTAGTAAAGGTTTATAGTTAACTGTTAGATTTATAATATTTTATTTTATTTTACAGTCAAATCAGAGAGAGCATTTTCAGAGTAATAGAGGAACAATAATATGCAAATAGAAGGTTTTCATCAAAAAATGCTGCTGAATTTGTTTTTTGAAGATGTATTGAGAGTTTATGTCTTTATTTTTTATTCTAGTGAGTTCCATACATAAACTCCATTATTAGAGAGAATATGTTTTACATAATTTGTTCTTTTATACCACTGGTGAAGTTTTGATGAGTTTCTTGAGCTATTTTGATGAATTTGATTGATAGTCACAAACATTTATCAAATACTTCAGGCAGGTTTTTAAGATTATTGAACTGCATTGTAGATACTGTTCCTTCTACTTGTGTTTTGCTCTCAGTTGGCTATGGGGGTAGTACTGCAAATGAGAACAACTGAAACTCTCAATATCTCTCAATATTATATACCCTTTGGATTCGCCTACTTTTAGAATTTATCTCTTATATCTAATAATTACTAATAGTATGTCATATAATCAAAGGTGAGATTGACATTGGTATCAGGTTACATTCTCGCACCTGGACGTCTTTCTTCTTTCCCGACGGCTTTGTTGTATTGTTTTTAAACATGATTCTTTTGTAATGTTGTTTTGTTTAAACAAACAGAGACGTAAAAGCCCTGTTTTCGGCGTTTCGTTGTCGTGAATCCACTGTAAACAGCTCGCCGAAAGGTGTCGAAGAAATCAGCATATTCACGGATTTCCCCCAATCAGATTCCATTGAAATCTTTACCAGTAGTTTCAAAATACGCACAGATCAGCCAGAATACAAGAATTTGGACTCTCTTTTAATATAGCATGAGAAAATCAATAAAATGTCCATACAAAATTATCGCTCACTCACTAGTAATTTGTATGGGAAACCATGACTGGCCGCGCGCTCGCCCCAATGTTTTGCACCCCCGGCAATATGGCGGAATAAACCTTGAAAGGGTCTATTGAAAATCAGTCTTTTTGTCTTGCAAGATGGAATAAAGTATAGATGACTGCTCTAAAATCTTCTTAAAAATTAACACCAAAAAACAAAACAAAAATCCATTAAGGTAACCAAGTAAACCAGTCATCTTATTCAGTGTTTCATCATCCCACCCTGTTGCACTGTCAACAATATTTTCAAATATTTCTATAAGTTTCTCATAATTATTATACAAAACATTGATGACACGAGCTCTATAGTACCATCGTGTATCACCAGGACTGGGAAACTCAAGGTTATGGGAAGACAGAAATGCTTTCCTCCTTGTAGCATTGCTAGTAAAAGTACAAAAAGCATCTATGTTAACAAAGAATATCTTCACAGGTGCAATAGAGGATGCAGCTTGACACAATACAATATGAAGAAGTTTGTCGAAACTCAGTGTATGAGGACGTGTAATTTTGAGCTCCTCAAATATATATAACCATTTTTGCTAATCCCCGAGCAGGCGGCGCGAAGCGCCGTGCGAGGGTACTAATCCCCCCGGCTATTTACACCGGGGAAACGAAAGCATTAGCGAAGTCTAAAGTTGATCAAATATCGCGGGCGTGGCTCACCAACGATGTTTCGGTGGGTGGTCATCCTCACTGATATAAAAAATATGGCGGACTGTCGTGAATAGCGGACACTGATTGGTTCAATTTAAAGTTTGCATTATAACGACTGCATGACGACAGCGAAATGGCAAACATTTCTTGATTTGATGATTGATAAATTTCTTGCAAATATATTTCATTTTTGATCGCATTTTGGCAAGATTTTGTAAATTTTAAAAGCTCTCTCGGAAAGAAACTGTGAAAGAATCGGCTAAAAGAAGGGAGCCGAAGTTAACGAAGGTAAATTTGTTTTAAATATTGATTTTATAATGGCTTTAAAACCCGATGGCCTTTGCGTATGAAATAACTAACAAGACAGCATATATTTAAATTTCATTGTATGTTTAATATTGATTCCCTTTTTTATGATATTCAAATCTTTTAAATAAAAAAGAAAGCAAAGTTATTTGCAAGCGAAAATTTGAAATTATTTTATTGCAAACTCAAAGTTTATCGATAAAGCCATTTTAAAAGGCAGATTAGTAATAATATAAAGAACACTAGTGACTTTAAAACGTTTTGCGAAGCGTTTGTGGTTGAATTTTACCTTAAATTGAGGCTTGTATTACGTATAATAACATACCTAACATATATATTTTGGGAAATTAATAATTTTGTAGTTAAAAGTGATATTTTTCAGGCGATTTTTCATTTTTTAAGAATATTGAATGTTCTTAAAAAATTATCGTGTTACCATGACAACTACTTTAGATACTTCATGTTCGGAAAATACAATGGTTTTGTAAGCAAGGCGAGGGTTTCTGCATGCATGTATTTTCTAGTAGTGAGAATATTAGAATAACATGCACACTAACTGTATACATCAAGTGGAATGTGCAATCGATATGTCCACTGAACACCTAAGTCTTGCTTGGACTGGCGATTTTGACTCGCTCAGGAAATTTTCAAACAAACTCCTAAACCTTGATGGAGGGTGGACACAGCCTGGAGGGGACAGGAAGCTCTTTACTTTTGACAACTCAAGTATTGTATGGCGAAAAACTAAAGGTTTGTTGCTGTTTAAAGGTGAGCAATCAATGACTGTTAAAAAGAAAATTTGCGAAGCAATGCTACAAGAATCGCCTAACCCAAGACTAACCCACATCACAAACGCATTCGGGCATATCGCCTGGTGATCGTATGGATGAGATCGAGAGTCTTAGATCTGCCCAGTTATTGAATGGTGAAGCAATTCAACTTTTGGTGAATTCTGTTTCGCAGATCTTTTCTATAATTGCTGAAATTCAAGCAAAAGCAAAACCCTTTACTGACGATTTAAGTAAAAAAAATAAGGAAAAATAACTAGAGGAAAAAATTGAGCAATTTGAGTATGCAAATTCCATCAACACCAACACTGATGATCCTATTGTCTTAGAACAATCAGAACAATTAATTGAATCAAATAATGCAAATAGTGATATGACACATTAGAAAAGACTTGGAGTTGAACGTAAACGAAAGAAATACAAGAAGTTTTTTTTATCTGGTATTGCTGAATTGAAGGCGTAAAAGAAAGCCAGATATAGTCGTATCTCGTTGAAAGAAATATAACCCTTACCATGGTGTCTACCTTCCAAAGTAAACTTAAATGAACAATGTCTGCTAAAATACATATGCCATTAACCACAAGTTCGGTCGTACTAGAAAAAACTTTTGGCCAGAGTTTGTATACTGTAAGCTATGGCAACAAAAGTAGATAAGAGATCGACAAAACACATTGCAGAAAAACAAAGAGACCCTAGTGCAGGGCTCGAAATAACGTTCCCAACGTTCCCGATCATGGTGATCGGCAATTACGACTTTTTGCAGATCAAATAAAAATCTGATCGATCAGGAGCATTTGCCTGAGTTTCCTTGAAAAAATTCTAAATATGCCAATACACATCTGAACAGGAAGTTTAAATTCATTTCAAATTCAAGTTTATTAAATTCCAATAGTAATAGTGTAACACTTTTTAAGTTTTAATTTATTATAGCTATTGCATTTTTTTCACACAAAAGCAAGAAACACAGCAGCATTATCAATTAAGAACTAAAACTTATTATTTAATATTAAAAGAGAAAATCCTACTAAAAATAAAAAATCCTACTCAAAAAAACCCTATCAATTTGAAATTTTAATATTATAACAAAAGTGTTCGTCGTCAGTGGTTCGGATTGCAGACTGTTGAAGAGACGACAGTATTTCTTGCAAATTTGTTTTATAGTAAATTACTTTAGAGCGAGAATGTCTTGCGGCCTTTTCTGTCGTATGACTCGTATCAACTATAAACAAGAGCTTTTCACATGTTTTTGAATGACATTGTGTTTTGTATTACCTTTATTTGTCTTTTACCGCATACAGGCAAGCATGTCTTTCAGACAATGGTCAAATATATTTCTTGCCGATCAAGATGAATGACAACGTTGCTTTTTCCCTGATCAAAAACAATTTTCTGCCGATCATTGATCGTTGATCGGCCGTTATTTCGAGCCCTGCTAGTGGGAAACTATATAACTCTAGTATAATGGAAAATGTAATTCCAGTACGTATCTCGTCTACAAGATGTTAAAAGTCTAAACAAAGAAGGTCTACACTTATAAAAATCTAAGTCGTGTAAATGTCACTAGACAAGGACCCAGCAAACTAAAACAAATTCCACAGTGTTTGGTGTTGAATGCTAGATCAATAGTGAAGTCTGATGCCTACCCAGCGTTATATGCGGAACTTAAGAGCAACAATAGGGCCATTTATACGGGACAAAATAAGTCGCGTCTTACATAAGACGCGTCTTATATAAGCTGAGTTATCGCATAAATGGTTCTCTACGGATTTATTCTTATTTACTTGCTATAGCTATAATGTTGTTTCGGTTGTTTTTGTTCGAATATGCAAGGCTAATAATTTTACGTTGTTACAAGTTTCGGGCATGTGTAGTTAGAATTTTTGTCTAAAATGTCTTATTTAAGACGCGACTTAAATAAGAACAGCTAAAAGTCCCGTTCTTATGTAAGACGCGTCTTATTCAAGACGCGTCTTACATAATAATTTTGTACCTTTTATACGACAAACTCGCGTCTTACCTAAGTCGCGTATTATGTAAGTCGCGTCTTATTTTGTTCGGTATAAATGGCCCTAATATTGATGTTTGCTGTATTTCAGAGACATGGCTAAATCCAACTATAGCCAGTTCTCTAATTTGCCCACCTGAGTTCTGCATCATCAGGAAAGATAGATTAGGTGCCCGTGGTGGTGGAGTGGCAATCCTTTGTAGAAAAGATTGGAGAATGCAAAAAATTCCAAATATGGATAACCCGTTTGAATGCCTATGGGCAAAAATTACAACTGAAAACTCCAGTTTTAATGTTGCATGCAGGTGTATACCATCCTCCCGACCATAATTATACTGATGCAGACGATTTAATAGAATTCCTAATGGACTCATGCGAGCAGTTATTATCGGAAAACCCTAATACGAAGATAGTTATTACTGGAGATATAAACAGATTGAACATTCGCGACCTACTTCAACAATTATCTTTTGCACACTTGGTTAGATCATTTACAAGAGGTAACAGAATCTTAGATGTTTTTGTCACAAATGCTCCTCACTACTGGAAGGAAATAAAAGTTAAGAAAAGTTTGGTAAGAACTGATCATAATATGATTATTGCATACTCGAGAAACATTATAAAAAGCAATAAGAACAAGCTCATTCTTTAGGGATGTGAGAGAACATAGAAAATTAAACATGCTAAGAGAACTAGAGAATGTGGACTTGTCAAAGATAACAAAATATGAACAAGCCCCTGATGAGATGATTAAACAACTTTATGAAAGTCTCTGGCCGAGATTTGAGAACACGGTGGTCGGTTGCTATGCAATTTCCTCCCGCATCAACTGGTTGGTCACGTGACACGTAAACAATGGCGCAAGCAATTTATATGAGTGGCGAAGTAGCTAGGTATTATTTTGAGCTTTTCAAGCTTTTGTCGCAGTGAAATTGTTTTTTAAATATTTTAATAGAACAAACTACACTCTCGAAAGTGATATATGTTGTCAATTTTCCCAATATGTTGCGAAATAAGTTTAAAATTCCCGTCGAACTGACCCTACCTTAAGACAGATTTCGTGTTTCTATGGCGACTGCTTACGACAAAATATACAATGAAGGGTCCCCTAGGAAAGGCAAAGTGAAATAACACATTTTCACTTTTATTCTCCCCCTTACCCTTACGAAAAAATCCTATAGGATCCTATAGGAATAGAATTCCTATAGGAATTTTCTATAGCAATTCCTATAGGATCCTATAGGAATAGAATTCCTATAGGAATTTCCTATTGGAATTCCTATAGGATCCTATAGGAATATATTTTCTATAGGAATATCCTATAGGAATAGAATTCCTATTGGAATTTCCTATAGGAATTTCCTATAGGAATTTTCCTGTAGGAATTTACTATAGGAATTCGTATATGATGTTATATAGAATATTAAGAATCCTATTGCTGCTATTATATGTTTTTACTCTGTTTTTTATAGCAAAATACAAAACAAGTGTAACTCAAATGATCGATATCGATCTACATCGATATATATATAGAGGGCCCTGAAGGGGTAAAATGGGAACTGGGATTGTCTATATTTAGACTGGGAAAATGGGATTTGGGTTCCTGGGACTGGGATTTGGCCACTGGGAATGGGAAATGAAGTCCTCAAAAATGGAAATGGGATTGAGGTAATGCGAGTCGATTCCCAATTTTTC